ATATGGGACAACGCTGTGACCAAAGTGCAATATAGTAATATGACATTCAGGAACGATCTGATTCTTCTGGACGGATATTGACTAAGTCCTATAGGACTGAAACCTCACTGAGAGCCGTTCTTTGTTCTTGTAATGCTCTGCGTACACTGCAGTAGCTATTTTATTTCATTCAAATATATTTATATTTATTTAATTGGCGAATAAATAAAGAATGTAAGAATACAGAGCATGCTCATTGCTCTTTGTTTTCGTCACCTGTCATGGTGGCAGAGAGAATAAAAGATGATGTATTCTCTATCCACATGATGCATAGAATCACATATTTCAGTCTAAACTATGTTACAGAGAGTAAACATAATAAAAACATGCCTTATCTGTGGCATTGTTCATTAAAATGGCACATTTCTGATGTATTAAAATTAAATACGATCGGTACACTTAATGATATTAGCGATTAGGTAATGCATTCAGCAAGTACTTTTACTTTTAATACTTAAGTATTTTTAAAAGCCAGTACTTTTTCACTTTTACTTAAGTAAAATGTTAATGTGGTACTTTGACTTTTACTTGAGTACATTTTTGACTGTGTATTTGTACTTTTACTTAAGTACATTTTTTGAGTACTTTCTCAATTCTTTCACTTTTCTCTTGCTCTCTGCTACGTGACATCTGGATCCCGCCGTGAACGCTCAGGCTAATTAGCATAGCCACCTGAAATTGAAATGATGTGGTTGGTGGACATGCCAGGCTGCAGCTTTTCTGCGACTCTTTCATTCCACTCACGCATTCTGGTGAATTTATCATCTGGGAAAAGTCAAGCAAGTGGTTCTAATTCCAAAAATGTGCGCTCATTACGGCTAGTCGTGAGCTTGCATAAAAACTCCTTTAAAATCCGGCGAGGATCCCACTACACAGAGCTCTCTGTTCAAGGACAGATTTCCGAGCCACTTTTTCATCTCGTTATGCGCCTGACTGGATCCAACACATGCAGCAGGTTGACAGACTGATGTTTATCTGCAGGTTGAAAACAGTTTTCCTGCCTTTACGGAGCCTTGAAAGTATTTCAACTTCTTGAACCACATTTCGTCATGTTTCAACAAACTGGCAAATATTATGAGTTTTTTTTTTAAGTGGCAGGCCAAGAAAATCTATTGTACATGTGTGAAGAGGAAGAAAATGTATAATTTCAAGAGGTAGTGTTTTGTAGAATTGACTTTTTTGAGCTTTGCATCATGTTATGATGTTATTCCCTCATCAAAAACATACTAGGATTGTTGCCTTGATTCTTTCATGTGTTTGAGAAGTCCTTTAATCTCCCATGGCAACCATTCAGCTGTCTGTGCAAAACGATTCGGTGGATTCAGCTCCTTCAGACTAGCCAGCAGCAATTAGTGGAACTGTACATCGGCTGAGCTCATTTTGGGGGCTACTTCTCAGTGAAACGCTGGTGAAAATGTTGTTAAAGGGTTAATAGAACAGCAATATTGTAATGACTTCCTGAAGGCGAAGTTTTAGAAAGAGTAGGAGCTTCTTAAAGAGACAGAGGCCCAAATTAAAGGCGTTAAATCAGGAAATAAAGTTTCTTTTAAGTCATATTTGATATGGCTTTTTTTAACATCTGGAGGTAACATAGTTAATTGACACAATACGTAAAACACATAATACTGCCCCTCTAAGCACTTAAAAAAAGTGTAGATTTCAGGTTTCGAAAGTTGAACATTGTGATTAATCATGATTAGTCGCAGCGCTAAAGTGTGATTAATCTGATTACAATTTATTGATTGATGGCACAATTAACTTTTTTAAAAACTTACAATGCTTTTATTTAAAGGTAATGTTAGCCACACAAATATTTGAGCTGTTTGTACAGCGCAAATAATACACTTTGAATTAGGAAACATGCTCAGTTTCTCATGTTTTCCAGATTTAATAGCAGTGAATCAGAGAGGTTGTGAATAAATATTCATAAGTGTATTGAAACGTTACAACTCCACTTCCAGTCAGATTTAACATCTGTTTCAGAAAAAAAAAAAACACGTCACAAACGTCCAGAACAAACCTGAGAGTCTGCAGTCCGAACACATCTCATCTCACTAGAATTCAAAACACATATCCAAACAACACATTAAAGAAACATCCTACAAAGCTTTTATACTTAAGAACTGTGCAAAATCTGTGGACAACTTATTTTCACTCTGCATCTTTATTTGAAATAAAATGTAAAAAAAAAAAAAAAGAAAGTAAAAATCGAAATTGCTTAAAATTGTTTTTATTTGGTTCTCTGCATTTGCTTTCAACTTTACACATACAATCACACAAAAGAAATTATAGAATACAATTCAAAAACTGGTCTTATACATACATACAGGATATATAAGAATTATGTATCCTGTATGTATGCAGGATACATAACTATATATCTATATACAGGATATGGAAGAATTGAAACTGTACACATGATCTAACGAAACTATGGATCTGAAAACAGTTTCAGTTTGACCCAAAATCAACAAATAAGTAGTAGTAACACACACATTCAGGTTGTCTGAATTTGGGCGTATTACATACCTCACTGCCAAATTTTAGCAACTGGATAAAATTTAAAACTTCAACAGCGTCCACGCCTCCAGGAATCAGTCATTTCTCAATAGCTGAGAGTCCACACCTCCTGCACGAAGTGAAGCGTAGAACAAGAGGCTGGTTTTAACCAGGCTAACTTCACATGGAACAAATCATTTTAAATGTAAATCTGCCAGCTCTACAGATAATTTTGGGATTATTAATCTGTGCCTGCTGTGGGAAAAGGTAACTGCCTCCCTCTCGTTAAATCACTAATTAGATGTCCACCACATCCCATTTCTCATTATAGTTGGTCCTTTAGGATCAATGAATCATCTAAACAGAACGTTTGACAATATGAAAGATTTCAAAAAGCAGCATATCAGAGGGACACTCAGCCATTTCTAAGGATTTCGAGCTGTAGTGAAGCTTCAGAGGAGAGATTTACAGCCAGACTCATCCTGGAGGTTACAAAACAACATCTAAGCCTCAGGATTAGAAGACCTTAAAATACCTTTTTCTGAAATTAGGTCCAGAGTGAAAATTTGGCTCTTGCTTATTCACATGGGCAGCAAAAAATGCCTCTTTTGTGAAAACACTGAAGCACTTAGCCCAATCTGTAACTTGATCAATAATCCCAAAGACGTCAACCACTGTGACTCTCAGTCAATGCTGTGATGTAGTTTATTGGTTTTGTGGTCCAATGTGACAGAGAAGAAGCTCAAACTCGTCATCACTCTGGACCAAACACTCCACTCGTGCTTTTGCTTTTCGTAATTCTCGTTTTTCTCATGTTTACTGCTAACGTTGCTACATGCTACATGTTTAGCTTTACTTACAGGCCCAGTGAGTGAAAATTAGCACTTGGGGCTGTTCCCAATGTTTCTGTGTGGATAAAATAATTTCTGGAAATGATCCCATATGCATGGTGATGTTTTTTAAACTGACAACAAGTTTCACGTAAAAAAAAAAAAAAAAAACTCCTGTGTAAACGGGTTATGAAATTGGAATTAATAAAAATTGTTGAAAACCACTGATGGGTTAGCCCAGCCAAATTCTTTATTACACTGAATTTATTGCACAGTATTTTCGGTCTGGTTTCTAGTGAAATTAGACAAAACAAAAAAAACACCTGAAACAGGTGAGAACTAACTTATAAGGAACTTATGAAAAAGTATGCCTCATAGAGTCAATATTAAGGAATCTTTCACCTAAATAAAGCTCAGCTCTAGCAGAAAAGTTTCTTGCAATTTACCTTTGTTTTACTTTAAGTGTACTAAGACTTGCATTAGAAACTAGACCAAAAATACCTGGTCAGATTTTGTGTCTGTGCAGTGTGCAAACTTCAAAGTCAGATTCAGATTTTCGACCCTGAGGCAACTGTTAAAAAACACGCAGAAAGAAGTTGCCTGTGAATTGGTCTCTGTTTAAAATTCACAGAGTCTTGCATGTCGAACTCACGAACAAAACAAAACAAAACAACAACTAACTAATAAAAACCAAACACTCTACGCAGCCTCACCCTGTCCAGGGTTTGAGACTACGTCTGGGCCTGTATCGTTGTCAGTTTCTGGGCTTTTGTAAATTCTGAGCAGCTGGTTGTTCAGCTTTAAGGTTTCCCATGAAATTAAACAATATGAACCATGACCACATTGTAAGCAGCTGATTTAAGTTTATTATCTACTAAAAAGGAGGGTTTCCGATCCAGAACCCAGAAATCTTTGGCAACAGTAGATCTTCTCGTTTCCGTGTCGGTAAACGCTCTTTCATCTTGAAGCTGAGTGAAGTCCAGTTCGTGATTCCAGATCCATTACGAGAAAACCCACATGGCTTTGCTGTCACTTAATGTTTTCTTTCCAATCACCATGGTAACCTGGGCCTCATCCAGGATTACATAAAATCAGAATCTGGAGGGGAGCGATCGAGCCAATATGGCTGCCTTTGAAAAACGTTTGGTCCGAAAACAAGAAGAAAAAAAAATCATGCATTTGCCAACATATTTAAAGCTCCGCCTCTTCACTCGTTTGTGTGTGTGTATATATATATATATATATATATATTTATATATACACACACATACATACAGAGACACAATGACAAAAACACACTGAATAATGTCTGTGCAAAGAAAATGACAAGGCAAAAAATCTGATTTCAAACAGTCTGATAAATGAAGAGATGAACTACATTCAGCTACGACAGCCTGTTATAGTGCAATATCAACACAAACACACACCCATACAGTCACATGCACACACGCACGCACACACGCACACACACACCAACACACACATTCAGATAGAGGGTGAGATCTCAGTGGCGACTTCGGCGTGAATGTGCTGGGGACGCCTGCAGGGCCTGATCCCATTTCTGGAGGAGAAAAAACAAAGTGAGAAACTTCAAACCTACAAGAGGAGAGTCAACAGCATGAAAAGCTAAGAGAGCGCCACCTGCTTACTGCTTTCAGTAGTAAGTCAAGAAGCAACTCAGAAGTTTAGTCAATGTTCAAGTGAGACTAAATTTGTCCTTTTCTACAAATTTCCTCCCAAACTTTTCAGAACAAATGTCATCTCAGTGGATGTAAAGTTTTCAAGGTACATGTCATTTTCTATGGAATGCAACTTGAAGCTATTTGCAGAAAGTTTGCCTATTGGAAGACTTTTTTTTTGTGGAGCGTTTTGGAAATGTTTAGAAGGAATGC